CTAATTTATAAATATTAATACAAATTTAGACATAATTATAATCTAAACTGCTGAAGATGACCATGTGCCTTTGTACTAGGACAATTGTCTAAGCTGGATCCTGTTCTCAAGTCTTATAGTTCTATCTTTAAATCAGACTTTAATAGCCAAAGTAGTAACTCCTTTCAAACATTCTTCTTTATAAGCTAGGATATGTGGTCATGGTACTTCTCTGAATATAAGTTCTTTAAGATGTAGTCATAGGAAACAGAATTGTTCTCTGTGGCTGTAGGCAATTTTGGATTGTTGCCAGATTGATTGAACATATAGATAAAGCTAAACTTGGCCCCAAACAAGGCCTGAGACAGTAAAATTAAGAGAAAAAAGAGGCAGAAATCAAATACAAATTGCTCAGATAAATTCCAGATTTCAGATTAGATTGTTCCCAAAGTAGACTACAATTAAAATATTCAAACTATGTCAGCATCACACTGGGGCAACTAGGTAAATTTGGACTTTAACATTCATGTCTCTCTGGGTGTGTTTGTGCAGGTCTTTTGACGGCCATGTTGTATTGTTTCAATTAGATACATGCAATTTCTCCCCCAATCTAATTTCTTCTTTCCCAACACATTAAAGCAAATAAATAAAACAAAAATAACTCCCCCTGTTTGGCAACCCTAATTATGATCTTCAGAAGTACACTGTGTAGTTTCTGGTTTTTAAGCTCATTAAAGTGATCATTTTTTTAACTGTAAGAATAAAGGAATTTGCTTCTATTGACCTCATGGTTAATTTATTTATCTAGGAATAAGCAGTATTTTGTTGTAGCAAAGGACATAATATTTTAAAGTAACAGCTATAAAATAAGCATGTTATAATGTACTGTATATGCTTGGATATCTGTCCCATCTCATATTAATTTTTTATATGTGAAATACCACTGTTCTCTCCAGAAAGCTTCAGCAAGCGGTTGTCAATCTAGCTGCTGCTTACTGCCTTTCTGCCATTTCCCCATTACTTGCTGCTCCCTGGATAGCCATTGCGAGGGGCGTTGACCCAAGGGGCCTTGGACTCCTTCCTCAGCTTCCCTGAACATTCATGTCTGAATGTTAAACTGCTGTCCCTCTTTATTTAGAAACAAGCTAGGTTGAATCCATCCATTTGAATGTCTTCCTATCAACCTCAAGGATGACAACAGCAGTGCCCAAAGTCTTCAGGGAATTCTCTACGTACCCCTTTCTTCTAAGTGGAGTGCCTTTTTCCTCTCTTGTGACAACGTAAGCAGTGGAGACTTTCCTAGTTCAGGTTATCTTGGTTTATGAAGGAGGAAGCAGCTGAGGAGAGGAGAGGAGACCTCAAAAACCCATTAGATGAGCTTACAAAAGTCCAACAGATTTGCAAGCTGTGGTGAGTTGTGTCCAGTTCTATTTTATGGGAAACCAATCTACACTGAGTCACTGTACTAAAGGCTGCTTAGTTATTTCAGACCATCCTGAAAAGAACAGTTTAATCTACCTTCCTTCCATTAAAAGGCATCTGTCCACAAAGGAACCTGTTGAAGGAAAATATGAGGCTAGGCTTTTTTTTCTTTTAGTTTCATGTTCCAAGAAACAGAACTTCTATCTGAACCTAAATGATAAGGCCAGACTTCACTTTCTGGTGTGAGAGACACTGAAGTTATGTTTTCCAAATGGGACCACAGGATGCAATATATTTCTGTCTTCCCATGGTGAGAACAAAAAGGAAATTTATAAGTTCAATTTCCTGCCTAGACCGTGAATAGTATCAGATCAGTTGAAAATGTAAACTAAATTGGAAAGAAAGAAAGAAAGAAAGAAAGAAAGAAAGAAAGAAAGAAAGAAAGAAAGAAAGAAAGAAAGAAAGAAAGAAAGAATTACAGTTGTAAATCCTTACTTGGTTGGTTTTTAATTTCTGTAGCGGCATTAGATTTATGTTGGTCTCTGAAAAGTAAAGACTAGTTTAATGAAATCTGGCAGCACCTTTTCAGACTAACAAATTTTCTTAAAAGGCATAAACTTTCATAAACTGTAGCTCACCACATCAGATGCATGAGGCAATGAAACTGATGTAAGATTTAAATGAGGATGAGGCAAGAATGGGGAGAAAGAGTGGTTATGCAGATACTGGTGAGACAGATTACAGTTAGTAATTAGCAATGGGTTAAAAACCCATTGTGCTTGTTAAAGCCTTCCTAGATACCCTGAAATCCTTTCATGTATATGAGTTCCACAGTTCCTCTTGCTCTATAGTGCTTGTGGATTTTCACTGTTGAAAAACAGCTAATGTGAGATCTGCTCCACAAATTAAATCACAGGGCTTGAAATATTAGGAGCAACTTTCTATTCAAATATAGCATAAAATGGTCTGGTCAACTGCTCTGCTTGAAAAAAAAAAAAAACTCTGAGAAAAATATGTACGTAAAAGAAACAAAATGGAGAAATACCGTTTTATAAAGAATGATATGACTTTATTTGTTGTCTAAGCAATAAGCATGACCCTTTAAAATTATCAGGATTTGTAGAGTATATGTGAAATAATTATTTGGTCATAGACCAGCATAGAACTAATAATATAACAATCACGCTAAAATAGAAACAAAAATAAAAATCATATTGATAGAATAAGATAAGGTAGAGTTAAAATTATTAGTGTAAAATTACAAAGCACAGGAATTAAAACCTGAGAGAAACCTATTAAGTTACAATTAATTTTAAAATGAATTACAGGGATTATATAGATTTGCAATGGAATATGAAACATATATAAATAAATATAATTATACTAATTTATATATCTGGTAGGGAGTGAGAGAGGAATAAGCTATCATTGTTCTACCCATGCTCACAACTTACTCAGATAAATCTGGAATCCTAGGACAGATAGGCTTTGATTTGACCAGAGGGTTATTTGTTTAAGTAATCTTTTTGTTTATTTCTGCATATAATGGAAATTTAAGTTGATAATATAAGTAATGGACTCAAGGAACTCATTACACTTACTTGGTTTCTCTCTGTTTTATGACACCTGTGTGAGAAAAAGACAATTTTGTCACTATTATCATTTGAAATCCGTCTCTCGTGATAGAGCAAATTAGGGGTAAAAAACTACAAACCACCTTCACTCTTTTGCAGCTCTTATAATGGGTGAGGTGGAAAACAGGAGTTTGTTTAATACAGATAATATTAGGATACCTCCCAGCTTTGCAGAGACTCAATATCTCTGCTGGTCACTTCCAGTCATACAAACGGAAATTTTGGGCTGCTATTCAAGATGGAGGTGCTTAATAGAGCATCAGATTTTAGCATCTAAACATGACACTGACTTAAGCATTACCACTTTTTTTCAGCGAGCAGAACCCTGCAGCCAAGATCAAAATGACACCAACTGTGATTCCAACTTCTAAATTAAAAATATAGAAAAAAATGGAACACATTTTATATTACAGAGGATTGATAGGGGAAAACAACAGCGAAGAGAGAGAAGAAAAAATGGCAAATATTATTATACAATTCTTTATAATTAAGAGATACAATCTATTAAAATTTGAAATTTGGATTTTAGATTGTGATTTGTCCATCTTTGTAAAACTTGGAATACAGAATCATCATATTGATTATTGTAAACTGAACAAATTTCAGGCAGATATACAGTATTCAGAATACCAAATATACAATTTCCCTTCTTTCCTTTATTTTTTTTTTCCTTTGTGGGGGGGAGGCTTGTCTGAATGCATGTCCAAATCTGAGAAAACTTCAGTCTTAGCTTTTGATATTTTTACTCTTAGACACATTATTACTTGTTGTTTTAAATGGGAAGGGCTAATATTGCAACCAATCCTTAGGTTCTGATTTATATGTTCTTAAAATAATTTTTTTCTCATAATCAAATTCAAATTTTAATTATGGTCAATGACCAGCAAGATGAAATCAGAAAAGCAACAATCAAATACAACAAAAGAAGTGTATCAATCGTATGAAATCTAAAAGTTGTGATGTAATTTTTTTTAAAAAAACCCTGAATGATATACAAGCAAATAATATACAGCATAAGATAAAACAGAAATAGAATCAAAAAAGTTACAACAGACTAAAAGAAAGAAGAAAATCTCATATTGTCATCACTCCAAGACTAGGACATCTTATGCCTTTCTATGAAAACTGTTGCAGATAGAAAATTAGCCACTCTATTGGTGATGTTAGTCTGATCTGTGAGCAGGAAATATACTCCCTCATAACAGATTTAGTTTTTGGTAGGAGGCAGTAAAAGGTTGCCAGCACATACATTAGCATAGAAAGAGTACTGGAAAAATACATGAGACAGGTTCTCACATTCATTTTAACCAAAAAGACAGCATCTCTTATTGAATGGTGTCCTACTTTATCTCCCATCCACTACTGGATAATGAATCTGGTCCTTACCAGAATTAGGACAGTTATAACTACAAGTGGTACAGGACTGGAAAGAACAGTCTTCTAAGAAGGACAGACCTTCTATCAAAACATATTTCTAAACACACACACACACACACACACACACACACACACACACACTGAGTGAAATTATGCTTCACTTGCCCCTGAAGTTGGTTTGTATAATACAAAAAGGAAATTATTAGCTAAAGGGACTTTTCCTGGCAGCCTCCTCTGAGGTTGCCCTTAGTAAGGTTGCAAGAAAAATTGGTAATATCCAAGTAATTGTTTATAGAAAAATTACTTACCTACAAAATGCATATTATATTTCATACCTGAAAATTATATATAAAATATTGCATATAAAAATATTCACATTTCTTTTTTTTTTTTCTTTCATTCTTTCATTGTATTCCATGTTTCCAAAAATTGCAGGAAAAAATACATCACTCAATCAGTGCTCATCTGTTTTATTAGCACAAACATTTGCAAACTTTCAGTGGGAGTACAGTTTTTATTTAATCCTGAAAGTACTCCCTGAAGACTCCCCCAAGACATCTTAGCTAGGGGCCCTGGTGACAACCACCACATCCCCCAATACCCCAGACCTGGACAGAGCCTTTGATGGTGAGTGAGGTGGAGTCTTTTGATGTAATCTGGGGTCCTGAAGGAGCAGATAGAGTTTTTGGTGGTTTCAACTACCTATAGCTTTCATCCATGCATTCTTGGTTTGGGGCTTTTTGCAGGGGATGGCTAAGCATGGCATCAATAGGTTATTAACAGGAGGAGGTAACACTTTCTGCTTTGATATAAACAGTAGTGTACCCCAGCTACAAGAAGCCTTCCTTAGATCCAGCGATGTTAATAACTTTCATCCTGTCTCCAACTTTCCCTTTTTACAAAAGGTTGTTGAGAAGGTGGGAAACCAACTACATAGGATCCTAGAGGAAATGAATTATCTGGATCCTTTTCTGTAAGAATTCAGGCTTAGACAGGAATGGCACTGATTGCTCTGATAAATGACTGAGGTATCATTTTGCAGTAGTTGTGCTCCCACTGAGTGGGCATTTCCAGTCAGTGGTCAAGGGGGGGGCAGTTGGTTCAATTTGGGCCCCATAGGGCTTGGAGTCCTCCTCCATGTTGTTCAACATTTCCATGAAACCTCCAGGAAAATAATCTATCAGTTTATGATCACATGTCAGCAATATGCTGATGGGCGGCTATATAAATATGATAAACAAATAAACATGAAAATGGATAGAGCAAGCCTTAATACTAAAAGTAATTGCATTCTACAAAGCTGGAGAAGCAACTGAGTAAAAGTACTTGCTAGCCTCCATTACCTCTACCTCATGAAAGAAGAGTAAGACAATAGGTTCTCCCAGAAAGAACATACTGGACAGGCCAATTAAGGTAGGAGAAATTATCCTGTAGGTACTTAAGCACCAAGCCATACAGGGCTTTGTGGTCAAAACCAAGACTTTGAATTGTACCCAGAAACCTAATGGTAATCAGTATAAGGTCCAAAGCATATGTGTAACATGCTTTTGGCAGGTAAGGCTCATTAGGAATTGGGCTGCTGCATTATATTTGTTGCTGTACAGTGCATAGAAGCCTTCATAATTTCTGTGTCTTATACATTTCCTTCCTTCCTTCCTTCCTTCCTTCCTTCCTTCCTTCCTTCCTTCCTTCCTTCCTTCCTTCCTTCCTTCCTTCCTTCCTTCTTCCCATCAACCAAGATACCAACATTCCATTGCCTTTGATAGAACTTGAGTTAGTTCGATTATTAATTATATAATTACATACTATAATATTATTTATTATATAATCACACTATGACAATTTATTCCTTATTGTAGTCAGGTGTTATAATACCTCTGTAATTTCTTACTATTTTGCTTTATATATTGCTAAGAATTGGTTCCTTTTTTATTCATCTTGTTAAGGTGTTTGTTTTCTACACTTTTCAGTGACAAGAAAATGAGCACCAATCCAGCCAGAATAATACAATTTTAAAAATATGTAATAATTACTTACTTGGGAGATTTGATGGAACTTTATCACCTGTAGCTTGAATAAAAGTTAGTGAAATGTTTATGTTTCCTCTATTTTGCTTTACTTGTCAATTAAACTTTATGCTTTTAAGCATCCAGCTTGTTTTTTTACAATGCTTCTCTTTACTGAAAATCCCAAAGCTACACACAGAATTTTTGATCTGTGATAAATAACATGTGATGATATTTTTATTTTTATTTTTGTTTGGATTTGTTGTTGTACACTACAGAGACCTTCATTACTGCTGCAACATGTAAATGCCATTGATTCATTTAATCAATCAATATCTCAAAATTCTTCTCCCTATTCCAGAACATGAGTTCTATTACTTATTATATAGTCACACTTTGATTGTTTATTTCACATTGTAGTCAGGTGTTTAAAACGTGTGTAATTACTTATCGACTGGCCTTGTATGCTGCTCAGAATTAGAGCAGAATCATTTTATTGTTCTTGTTAATTATCTTAATGAATTTAGCTTTTTTCTTGTTAGTTTATAAAATATTCTTTCTGTGGGAAAGCAGAATATAAGTCACGTACATTCTGTCTGTTCTAGGGATTCCAGATATACAGTAATTGCAAAATTAATTCATAATTCAAAAGAAATATAAGAGACCAGCCCTTACCAGGAACCCTACAAGGAGTGACCAATCATACTCAGTAACCTTTAGGAGCAATAGGTTTGAACCCAGGTTGAATCACCCTTAGGTCCCTTGAATTGAATGGGAATTGATTTCAATGGAACTGCTTCAAATATTACAAAATATGGTATCCATCGTTATGCAAACTTGACGCCATTCAGCTCAGTGATCCATGTATATTTAAAATTATTCTTGTTTGTTTTCTACACTTTTCAGTGACAAGAAAGTAGGCACCATTCAAGGCAGAATAAATACAAGTTGTTGTCTTTTTAATGCATTCAATCTTGTCTGATTTTTAGAGACTGTCTAGACAAGCCCCTGCAGTTTTCTTGGCAAGGTTTTTCAGAAGTGGTTAGCCATTGCCTCCTTCCTAGAGCTGAGAGAAAGTGACTGGCCCAAGGTCACCCAGCTGGCTTTGTGCCGGCTGGGTGACCAGCAGTTTAAATACAAGTTTAACATATGTAATAATTACTTACTTGGGAGGGGTGATGAATCTTCATGATCTATAGTTTAAAGCAAAGTTAATGAAATGTTTACATTTCCTTCTACTTTTGCTTTACATGTCAATGAGACTTTAACCCTTTAAACATCCATATTAAGATTTTTTTAATGCTTCCCTTTACCAAAAATCCCAAAGCTATATACAGAATTTTGAATGTCCACAAATACAAATTGAAAATCTATTAGGATATTGCTTTCTGAGGAAAAAATAGGAAACAAACTCCAATCCTACCCTCCATGCCACTGCCCCCCTCTCCCCCTCCCCCAGTACCATCTGGCTGTTCCTTCACTTCTGAAAGAGAAGGTGGTCTTTGGTAACATGAAGTATAGAAAAATAGACCTAAATGATACAAAGGAAGTCACAACCTCTAATTCTTATGTTTTATTCAGAGATGGGAATTTATGCTTCTTCTAATTTATCTGTCAAAAGTAATGCCATAATTATCATCCCTAACATCTCCTCTCTTTCTATAGGTCCCTATATTTTATTGATTGATTGATCTCATTGGATCTGTTTCATTTGCATAGCCGTCCATCTCGCCGTAGTAACTTTAGGCAGCTAACAGCATATAAAAATAAAATACAAATCAAGACCGAAACACATTTAACCTCTGAATTAGAGGAGAATGTGGCCCTTGAGATGGGAATTGATGCTCCTTTTAATTTATTTGTTAAACACATTGCCAACATTATCATCCCTAACATCTCCTCTCTATGTAGGTTCCTATATTTTATTGATTGGTTGATTCATTTGTTCTGATCTGATTCAATTTGCATGGCTCTCCATCTCAGCTAACCTACATATAAAAATACAATACAAATAAAGATCAAAATAATAAAACATATAACCTATAGGACTACTGAGGTGTGCTTGTATATATACACATATAAAGAGGTGAATAGTGGTAAACAGATCTCAACCCCTGACTATATCAACAATCACACAGGTGACAACGATTCCTAAGACATGTCCATGGATAACATTGTCAACCCTGACTATATCAACAATCACACAGGTGACAACGATTCCTAAGACATGTCCATGGATAACATTGTACTGACAGTAGAGAGAAACCGCTATTTTAAAACCAATATCTTTTTAATTCACCCATTTTAAAATTAATTCTGGTTTAAAAAGAGTTTATTTCTTACCTGAAACTTCACGAAACATTTTACTGTTACTTAGACCAGAATTCTTCACCTGGTTCTTGGTGTCCTTGAACTGGAACATGCAGGAAATCTGCCCTGCACCATCTTGCGATAATTTGTAATGGAAGGTATATGAAAATGTATTGTCCTCTTGTTCCTTAGTTTCCATTTCTTTCCTGTCTTTACAGAAAATAACTCGGGAAAACTGAGAGTGTCGAGGTATCAGACAATTCAGTAAAACTTCATCATTGGATAAACTGCGCAGAAACAGCTGAGGTGAAGTAAGACTACCTGAAGAAATTTTAAAAAGAAAAAGAAAACAAAATGAACTAAGTACACTCTGTGACTTTTGACTGACTTATTGTTTTCTGTGCTCTGACAGAAATCCCCGTAGTTATTAAATGTTTGAATAAAAATTCAGTGATGTTCAATGCATAGATTTGGATTTCAAGTAAACCAATGAAAATCAGGGTAACTGTACAGAAAGGAATTTGTGGATTTCATTACATTTTGTTTTTGTATGATTAAAATTGAATACAATCTCAGTGTTAAAAACAAGTGTGTGTCTGGAAAACTCCTGATTTCAATCTTAGGAGAGTTGACTGCGGAGGTCCTGGAATCTAGGAACTTCTGAGAAGTACTTTTACTGAATTTAAGGTGAGGGAAACCCCTTCTTTTCCCTACCATGTTATGGATATGACTGGGGAATCCTAATAGCTTTTGAAAGATATCCTGATGTCACACAGCAGTATAATCTAGAAATAAAAAATATACTTGTCCCCCACACATATTCATAAATAGTCCACCCAGCAGAAAATGCTACTCTCCTAGAACTCTCCATTGATTTTTGTAGATCATCTCTCTGGAAGCACTTTACTGATGGATTTTATCTTCAAAATATGGATGGTATGTATGTAAAGAGCAATGAGGTGTTGAAAGTCTGCATATATGTGAGAAAGAGCAAACTTTCCTATAGTAAGGAAATGTAATGGGGACAAAACTCACCGGGGGCATTGCAGGTTTCTTGTCTTGTAAGGTGAATGCCTTCAGAATGGAATACATGATAAAGAGATGTTATTACCAGGAAGGACTAAGGTTTACAATTAGAATTCACCAAAGGTATTATAATATACAGTATTTCAGAACTATTTTTTGTTTCTTTTACACTCCAAAATATTTTAATGGCTAAATCTGAGAAAAAGATTCCTTGTTAAAAAATACAAACTTGTACCCAATTGTCACTTATTTCTGTGAGTACTTTGAACATATCATCTTCTGAATACAACTCAAGTAATTAATTAAAAGCCCGACCCTTGAATGTTTGTTCAGAAAGACCTCTTTGGGGCAATTCACATTCTGTAGAAGCATTCAAAATTAAAATAACTCTTAGAGCACCCTAAATTATAATTCAGGTCCAAATTGTTTGATTTCCATTGAAATACGCGTACAGACAAACATACCTAGGCAGCTGGAAATAAATACCCTAAATCAATTCATTTGACTTTTCAGGCGAGACAGCTAATAACAACAATACTGGTGTTAAATTGTCAATAAAACACTTAAGCACTGTTTACTCTTGCCTTATTTCAAAACTAATAAATTTATGAAAAGTAATACTTAAAGAAAATACTTTACACATAGCAGGTTTCTACATACACATGTATTATCCCCACTTTATAACAATATGAACAGTAATGCATCTTGTTGTCAGATTAAAATATGTTAAACTCTTTCTGAGATTTAGAGGTTTTTCTTGGCAGCTCATCCATGGACACTTAATGCAAAACACTTTGAAAATTAAAAAAAAAACAAAAATGGTACTGAACGCACATGTCTTGAGTAACCCTCACTGAATTCAATGTGGTTCTGGTCTTCTAAAAAAGTCCCCTTTTTTCCTCAGGATCTCTTCACTAAAAAATATGAAGTATCCATGGCTAAATTTTACTGACTTTTGTTTTTTTTACGTTCCGTGCTAGCTTATATGAGGGAAAAGTAAATGGAAGACATGGAAAATGTTGAATGAAATTTCCACCAATTTCCACCAAAAAGTCTGAGAAGAGAATTCAGTGGTGATGGAAGAACGTGAGATATATCCAATAAAAAGCTTCTACACTTCTCACACCAACATTTCTATCTTTTTAAAAGCCCACAAGCCTGAATTGAATGGAGAATAAAAACATACTAATGTATTCTTATATATACTGGACTCCTCCAATCTTTAGAAGGACACACTAATAATCTTAATCATACTCACAAAAAAGACAGAGCCCCAGCAAGTGTGTCCTTACAAAAACAGCCATTGTTGTTCTATTTGCAAGCTGTCATGAGCATTCTCCTGCTTAAGTTAGACATCTTCTGCTATTTATTCAGAGCAAAGAGCTTTTTGATGACAGCAAGGTTGGTTGTTAGTTCCCAGTTCTCAGTTCCTTATTTGCATATAAACTGAAACATTGCTCTAGTCTCATTTCACTTTAGACGAAACAAAGATTTATTACGTACTTCTGCAGTGAAAAATAAATGTTCACCTACATAATGTTTTATATCTCCATGACTTTCCTCAATTGGCCAATGTTTATTTCATCTAATACAGATGCTTGATGAAGGGGCCTCACTCAAAATAAGATGCAACCCCCAGGGCCATCTCACCAATGCCATTGGAACTGAGAAAGGTGTCAAGCAAGACTGCATATTGGCCTGACTCTTATTCAACTTTTATATGAACTCCATGGCAGGCCATCTCCTCAACACAAACTTTCACTCCCCAAAACCTGCTGGAAGAGACATCTCTGTTCTATTCTATGAAGACTGTACAGAAATTATTTCAAGAGCACTCATTGGCCTTAAAAGAGCACTGAGAGCAGTAGCAGAATACTGCAAGTAAGAGCAGTTAGAACTGAATTATAAGAACACTAAAATTGTGCAATTTGCCAAGAGTGACTTCTGGAGCATAGATGGCCACAAGACTGAGCAAGTCTTCTGTCTCAAATACCTGGAGGTAGTCCTTCATTCCACTGGCAGTAGGA